ACTAACCCTGATGATGGTAAGCATCAAAAAGCTACAATTTTGCTTCTAGATTTACTTTTTTTCCTCTCACTGAATTTCAAGAGTTTAGGTTTTTTTTTTTCTTTCCCTAGTGAGATCTGTGTATATATATTGCTTGAGTTTTGTGAGAATTTAATCAGCATTGTTGTAATTGAGTCAGTTGCTGCAATGAACGGTTTATACGCTGCTCTCCGTGGACCCGTTCTTCCTGGTTGGATTGCTTCTGGTGGAGACCCATGTGGTGAAGCTTGGCAAGGCGTTATCTGCAATGTCTCAGATATAATAAGCATGTAAGGTCTTTTCAGAGATAACAAGTTCTTGAGTTTATCTTTATCTATCAATTGATTTTGTTTCTGTTTAATTCTAATTTGAGTGGTTACAGAACTGTAAATGCTGCAAATTTGGAAGGAGAGCTTGGTGACTACTTAGCTAATTTCACTTCTATCAGGGGAATGTAAGCATTTTAGATACAAAATGTGACAATTTTGACAAGTCATTTGGAGGTATTTGGTAACCTTATGTATGTGTTTTTACTTTGGTACTCCAGAGATTTAAGCAATAATCATATCGGAGGAAGCATACCTTCAAATTTGCCGGTTACATTGCAGCATTTGTATGTATACAACCTTAGCAATGTATATTTTTTTGAACAGGGTTTGATAGGGTTTGTTGCTTTGAACAGTTTGTATGATGATGGTCTTTTACTTTTTGGCAGGTTTCTTTCAGCTAATCAGTTCACCGGAAGCATCCCGGAATCGTTAGGAACATTGAGTTTTCTGAGTGATATGTAAGTTTTGATTACTCTCAAATTTCATTTTCCATTTCTGCGTGCTAATGCAAATCATATCGTTCGTTTTCAGGTCTTTGAATGATAACCTTCTATCAGGAGAGCTACCCGACGTGTTTCAAAACCTCGTCGGGCTGATTAATCTGTATGCTTCTTGTCTATAGTTTGGTGAACAGTTACTATGGATTATTTTAATGATCTGATATCTTTGTGCAGTGATATATCAACTAACAATCTAAGCGGCACATTGCCTCCTTCAATGGAGAATTTATCAACTCTTACGACATTGTAAGTTTTGATCATTACAAAAAACAAATGTCGAATCTCTTTTGATTTCTTTCTTCACTGAGCTAATAGTCTGAGTTTTGCAGACGTGTTCAGAACAATCAGCTCTCAGGAACTCTAGATGTTCTTCAAGACCTTCCTCTTCGAGACTTGTAATGCTTCTTTCTCCCACAAAATGTTACATTCTTAAGCAGTAATAATAATTCTTCAAAAGTCAGTAATTTTGTCTCCTTGAAACAGAAACATAGAGAATAACCTCTTCTCTGGACCCATACCAGAAAAATTTCTAAGCATTCCATCATTCCTGTAAGTTCTCTCTAATTTGCTCTATTACTAATCATATAGAGGCATTTCAGATTTTTTTTTAGCTGATGCTTAAATTGGTGATGCAGAAAGGAAGGAAACTCGTTTAATTCCACCGCAACCGCACCATCAATGTCTCCGTCTATAGCTCCAACAAAACCAGCTCCAACACGACCATTTTTCGGAATTCCACCTCCTGCAACTGAGAAGAATCGAGGAAAAGCTGCTGATGGATCTACTTCAGAAGGATCGAGCTCCGGGAATTCAAAAGGGCAAAAAAATTCTTCAAATACTAAACGGATAGTCCTCATAGCATTCGCTGGCTTCCTCGCCTTCATAATTCTTGTTTTGGCAATACTCTTGCTGTTGCCAATATGTGCAAGAAGAAGAAGAGAACGTTCTAGTAGAGTCTTTAAACGCCATCAAGTCGGTGCTGCTGATAGAGGAAGCAGAGAGAATGCTCTGGAAAACAGGCCTCCTGTACTACCACCACCTGTACGATCTGAAAAAGGTAAAGATTGAGAAATGCAAGATTTGGCCATTGCTTTCGTATTGTCATTTCGATTAATAATGCTTGGATTGTGCTTATGAACAGTACCCTTCACGAAAGCTGGAGAGGAACCAAAGGTTTTACATGATCTTGATCGGTTGCAAAGACCTGCGCTGCCTATATCACGACAGGAAAGTCAAGATTTTGACTTTTCAATGTTGATG